GTGAGGATAAAGACTCTGGCACTATTTCACTATAGTTTATTAAGTGAGTACACAACACAGGATACAGTCAAAGGCCAGGGGTCATTAATTAGCGGAACCGGTATTCACCCGGGGCCTAACAGACCAGGGTCAAGGGCGGAACTCTGCAGTGTTACCAACACGTAACATTTAAACTCGATGTATCGTTCTGCAGTAGTACCAACTAGAACATTTATCACTGCTATTAGATAGTTAATGAAATAATGTTTTATTTTGACGAATTACTTTTTATTTTATATTCTGCTTATCAATATTTGATTACTGAAACTGTGATATGAGAGTAGTGTATTACTAGTCATTTTGGGAAATGATGAAATCAGTATTTTATTTCAAGATTTTTATTAAAACCTTTGGAATTTTCTTATAAAAGAAATCTTGTAACTTGTTTCTCCTTTCCACTCTTATGGAACATGACCCACGCTCTTATCATAAAAAATTTCCATTTCAACCTGTTCATTAAAAAGAAAATAGACTGTTTGCTACTAAGGTATTGGAACATTGAAATGATAGCTCTCATCTAACTTGTACAGACCTTGTCTCAATTCACTTAATCAGATTAATATTACTCTTATTAAACTCATACAATTATGCATGGGGATGGAAAATTTAAAAATCTATAGCAATTGACACATTATACACAATTCTTAACCCATCAGAGAGAAGAAAGATATAACAAACCACAAAAATCAAACAGATCAACTTCAGGAAACAAGACCACAAACCAGTGCCTCCAAAAGGGCAGGTGGGAGTGAAAACTGCTCAAGCCTCCTGCTCTTTTGGAAGCACTGTTACAGTGTTATCAAGAAGAGGTTGCAAGTTATCACAAACTAACACAGGAACAATGACCCAGAACCAACACGCTCACGAGGCACAAAAGCATCAAAAAAACTTTTCACCTCTGAACAAATTGATTACCATTTTAAAAAGTAGTTCTTGTATACCTAAAAACAAGAACAAGCAAGTTGAAATCCTATACAAATAGTTTTTCTTTATCATCTCCTTCTAGTTGTACTGCTTTTGGCATAATAAAATTAGGCTCAAGCAAATAATTTACCCTAGAGCCCTTATCAGAATTTAGCGCTATCCAGCCTCGGAAAAGTTTGACAATCACATCTCCAGAGGTGTAAGCCTATCTCAACATGTAGTGACACCTTAAAATAACTGAGATGAATTGAAATCCAAGCAAATAGTGGTTTAGAATATTATCATAACATAAGAATTAATCATTTTAACCAATATCAGAATTCAGGTAAATCACTATAAAAGTCAACTTTTCAGGCTAAAATCCACATCAAATGTTACTCAATATTACATTATAATAAATCCAAGAGCTAAAGCAAATGAAATACCAAGGCGGATACCAAGGGTGGTCCTGAATGGAAACATAAATCGACAGGCACACTTATGACCATAGAAGTCAGGTAATGAGGTTAAAATCCCCATCAAATGCTATTTCTATACAATGTCCAAGTGTAGCGGCTGCTGTTAAGACCATAATATTGAATTCAAATGCTAAAACAAAGAAATGAGAAAGAAAAGAGTGATCAGAGATCTTCAACAAGAAGAGCAGCACCACCACCATCTACAGTATGTAATTCACTTAAAAACTCAACATTTTAGGCTGAATTCAACAACAAGTGCTATTTGTCCAAGTCCATTCCCTCCTTTTTAACCCATAATACTGAATTCAAATGCTAAAACAAAGAAATGAGAAAGAAAACAGTAATGAATGATCTTCATGGGCATCAAGCCCAAGGCCACCCTCCCTGAGGTAAATCACTTAAAATCCCAACTTTTAAGGCTAAAATCCACATCAAGTAGTATTTCCCTACATTCTCTATGTCTGTCCCCTGCTTTTGGCATGATAAAATTAAATTCAACCGTTGAAACTCAAGTGAAATTAATTATGGTGCTTGGCCGCTATTCAACTTCGGAAAAGTTTCAGAATTACATCCAGAGAGGTGTTGGCCAATCTCAATATGGAGTGACACCTTAAAATAACTAAGATGAATTGAAATCCAAAGCAAATAATAGTTTAGAATAATAACTTACCATAAGTTTTAGTCTAAATAGTCAAAGTAATAAAATTTGTATAAATCACTCAAAAACCCAACTTTTCAAGTTGAAATCCACAGCAAGCAGTATTTCCCTACATTCTCCAAGTGTGTGCCCTGCTTTTAAGCCGATATTAATAAATTCAAGAATTTAATTTACCCCAGATCTTATACCAGACTTGGCCACGTTTCTTCAACTTCGATAATGTTCGACATCACCATCTCAGCTTGAGCATGCCAACGGCAAAGTGCACCAGCATTAAAAAATGGATTGAAAGGTCTTGATAAGAGAGACACAAGTTACAATTGTACAAATTCATTAACATAGAACTAATCAGTCAGTCTTTAAAAAGAAAAAGAAAAATCACATGCCCATATGGGCGGGGTTAAAAAAAAATCACTTCCATATTTGACAGATGACCGAGGAATGGGTATGAACGCCCAGCTCATGAAACGCTTCCAGTCTCAAAAGTTCCTGAAATCAAAAAGAAGACAAACAAAAAATTAATACAAAGTGTAAATTGAGGCAGACAGTTGAAAAATTCATGGCAGGGAAAGGCTAATAAATACAGAATAACTATGCTCGGTAGGAATCCAATGTCATTATGAATTTAAATTACTAAATCAGGATTCATGTAATCTTAAAACCAGAGCACTTTTTACGATGTAAGAGACAACAAGGCTTGTAAAACAAAAGCAGAAATCTTTTCAAAACAATAATAGACCACTGTCAATAGAAACAACTTACCAATCTCTGAATACAGGTGTCATTTATTCGTTTAGTAGAGGCCTTGTTGCAAATGTTGAGATTAATAGTTGTACGAACTGGCCAAGGACATTTCAGCTCAGGAGGGGTTAACATCGAGCAGCTTCTACTGTGAGCGACAGACTTGTCTGTAAAAGGAGAAGAAAATAACAATAAGTACACAAAGATTTGTTGTTCATCAGATTTCATAGGTTATGAGGCCTATCATCCTTCCGAGGTGAGCAAGAAATGCTAGCAAATGCATTATCGAAACGAACAGATAAAACGTTTAATATTTAAATTAATAAATCGGTGAATTGTGTAGTTATAAGCGCAAGCGAGAGGAAAGCAATGAGGGTGACAGAAAATGTACTCACATAAGGGTAAACATCACAACAAATGCATCACGGTCTGGACGAACAGTACTGCACTATCATACTGACATCTAAATCCGCCAGCAGAGTACACGGGATGTCTAAAATGCTAAGCTCTACCGAAATAACTGAATCTGAACATTCTACACCATAACATAGATTGTTGACATTGAATGGCTCGACGCCTCGGCATCTCAGCTCATGCGGCGCGGCTCATGCCAGCTTCGGCTAGGTGCATGTTTTCATCTGACCGATAGATGGCGCTGGTAACTGCTCCGAACACTAACCTTGTCAGCTAGGACGGTCAACGATAACAACTAATTCACGAACCAAAACTTTTTAAAAAAGACACACAGACCTGAGGGTGACACTTCCAACTCCCCTGGGAAATGAAGAAAACTCCTGGGAATCCCAGGGCTCGTTTTTACCGTGTGAGACAAAATAATCAGAGAAAGTAATCACAAGAGTTTAACAAGAGTTTGTTCTGCCGTTAACTCACTATAGGTTGTTATTCGCAGGACGACTTGTTTAGCAGCGCAGACGACACTGACGCCTTGCAGATAAACGCGCCGACACACAATAACAGTAGCTAACATGGTGCCGTTCGTGTACGGTCGCACCGTCGCGCCACGAAGAATAAGACAGAAAGAATTACCACTTGTTCGTGGAATTTTACCGTGATTACTAGAGTGTCGACCATTTCCTACGCAGCATTTTTCTTTTGTACTTAGCCATGGAGGGCACCGTAGGCGGCAGCCTGAAAGCCAATACTCGACAACTACTACCACTTCTCATGGGGCTAGAGAGGTTACACGATACTTCGTCAACAAAGTGCAGTGCCTATTCCACAGTTAAAAATAAGAGCTCGAGGCCCAGCTCTGATGCAGTGAGTTTTGAGTGTTTGTCCTGGATGGACAACGTCTGCCGTAAATACAACTCTTGGGCCTTTTTTTTGCTGTTCTGGTGAGTACTGTCACTTTGCCAGTGACGAACCGAAAGCATGCACAGGCTTTGAGTCTAGTTTTTTGCCTTAGGCCAAACTGTCTTTGTTGTTCTTAAATGATTCTTCAAAACATGTTGTTTTCTTCAGAAAGATTACTGTTCATCCCATAGTTAATGTTTATGACAATCTTAAATGTGTCTTGTCAAAACTAGTTAAAACCATGCTTCTCTAATCTCAGATGCAGTGTGAACATCAATGATTGTTGAATTATAATTGCGTTTTCTCCACTTCTAAAAGAACACTAGATTACGGTTTTGTCTAAAGAGCACAAAGTTAAGAAACACCCCTTCAAAGAGTGTGCTTTTAAAACAAATGAATTGAAAATTATTTATAATATTTCACGGAAAGACTGTACGAGATAACCCGTTCTTTCAAAGAACGGTCAAGTCTGTGTTTCCTAACTACAGACCTGTTCTGTTACGGATCAGTACCGTAGATGGAAAAAACAGGAGGTTCCGTACCAATTCTGTTTTGGGGTACGGAATTTTTAACAGTGCATTGCTGTCAAAATCGAACAGCATATCTCAATCTTTAATAGGTCCTGAGTTACACTCATAGCTCAAAACGGCGTATGCCCATGTACAATCTGACAAAAAGGCGAATGTCCACAGGAATTTTGACAGAGTGGCGTATGTCCAAGAACCAGTTTGACAAAGAGGCGAATGTCCACAGAACTGAGGAGAGAGGGCAGATAACCGTAGGAAACGTCGCGTGGCTAGTAGGAAGCAAGATATGGAGTACAGACAGGCTACCTGCAGCGAGCGCGCCGCCGTAGCGCAATGGTCGAGGCATCGGGCTTACGACCACGAGGTCGGGGGTTCGATCCCACCAATAGATCGAAGTTTCAAGCACTTTCACCAATGAAACCCGTCGGCGGTTCACTATGACATACATAGAACAAGAAAACAGTCGCCAAAAATATCTTTTTCTTGCATATATTACCTAAGAATAATGTGGGTAAAAATTACGGGACACATTGGTTAATATATTTACAGAAATATTTGGTATTAGTTTTACAGAAATTTCGTGGAGTTATTTTTACAAGTGTCTGTAATTTTACAGACTATGGTAACTTTACCAGACTTTTACTTGGCACTAAGTATACCTAGACTTTTTCTGTAAAATCTCCCCCAAAATTTTTAACAGTGCGGATAAGAGATTCAGTCGTAGAAATTACAACTGAGAACAGAGATATTTGAGGTGTCGGATAATCCATGATTCGATTGCGATGGTCTAAGAAGTGATTCTTGGTTTTTGTAATGATTCAACGACGGATTGATGAGTTAATGAATGATTGTAGTCGATTGCTGCGATTTAATGCTGATTGTAGAAGGCTGTTCTTCTGATTCAACTTTGATTTTAAGTGATTGTTACGATTTTAAGAGAAAAAGATTGAAAATGGTTGTGTCGATTGTAAAAGATTCTGGGGTTCTTAGGGATTTAAGTTGCGATTGTTAGTGACTTAAATTAGATTCTTTTTCAAAGTGTACAGCGATTGTTTGAAGTGAGGTACCGTACCCCTCGCTGTTATGTCTTATTGATAAGAAGCAAAGGCGCAAGTAGTAGATTTCTAATAGTTAAAAACGCGCAACCATTGGCTGTCCGAAATTCTTGGCATTTGATTTTTTTAACTTTGGAATATTTACAATAAAGTTCAAACGTGCGGCAAAATACCTTCATTTTTTACAGTTTTATGTCATCTGCTTCGTTATCCACTTAATAGAAAACAATATTCTTTGTCGAGTCGACGTATGCCCGATAGCGGGCCGATCCTATTGTCATTCACGAAGGAGCAGGACAAAGGGACGGGTCGACCAACGCCCAGGGAATGACGCATTTCTTACTCAAGTGGCACTTCGACATCAGTAAGAAATCTGTTCGCGATATAATGCGTTCTGCGTCATTTTTATCTCGAAGTGCCTCTAGCTCTGTTTCTCAGACTGGGTATAAAAGGCGACATTCACCTCAGGCCAGCACTTGGTAAACCCTGACCGGTAAGTGCGCTACACGTTATTCGGAGAAACTTTTTGTCTAGTAGATATTTGTGTATGTTTGTCGAAATCAAAGCGCACCCAGCACGCATTATAATAATCGTACTTGACTTTTGACTTACAAGGGAAGGTTTTCCGGTGATACAGTCAGATTTCAAAGGCGTTTTAAAGAGAAGTTGTTTGCACCTCTAGATTAGGATTGGCACTGGTTTTAGCTGCCCGTAGGGAGTTTGGGGGTCATTTCACAAGAATTTCATCAAAAATTTCCCAAATTCATCGGTTTTTTGACATCTTTGCATGCACATATCTCCGAAACCGTTTGAGCTACAGCGCCCAGATTTTGCAGGTAATTATCCTTCAATTAGTACTTTCCATGACAAATATTTGAACCAAATCAATGGGGTTCACCAAAAGTGGCCTAGGGTCGCAACCCCCTCTCCGGACCCGTTTTTGCGACCCGAATCGATTTCGTTCAAATTTTCTACAATGAAAGGACGTGCTAAATTATGATTTCCCTCAAAATCTGGGCGCTGTAGCTCAAACGGTTCTTGAGATACGTGCATGTTAAAGTGATAATCAGGCTAAAAAGTTTGACCAATTTTCGATTAAATTCGCGTAAAACGACCTTCAAACTCCCTACGGGCAGCTAAAACCAATGCAAAACCTAATCTAGGGATGAAAACAACAACACTTTGAAGCGCCATTGAAATCTGAGTGTATCACCGGAAAACCTTCCCTTGTTAGATCAAAGCATACGTGAACAGTGTGCTTTCCTCAAACTATAAACGGGCGTTACGATAGTAATCTCCAGGGGTGTGGGTATACAATTACTAATATGTTGTTACATGCTGAAACTTCTCTTTACGGAGCAATAGTAAACTATGACACATTGTCCTATTCTAAAGGGAAAGAGTAATTGGCTGTCTTAATTCGAAATAGTTTCAGGTGTACTTCTGAAGTTAGGCATTTTTAAAAGCCAAAAAGGATTGTTACTTCTGTCAAAATCCTGTAGAGGTGGCAATTTTTTTCACAACGCATTTCCGTAAACAGGAATTTGAAAAGTATAGACAGTATCAGTATGTACGCCTGCTTAAATGCGTACTCTCCACGATTTCATTTTGAAAGAATACTGTTATTTCTCCCATTTGCCACTGACTACATTTGTAAAGTTGATTGTACCTACTTGCAGAAGCAGTACTTACACTGTTAGAAAAAATCCTGGGATTTCACGGAGGAACACTCGTGAAAAGTATTGCCAAAGTCCTTTGGGATTTCCCAAAGAACTCTGTAGATTTCACGTGTCGAGTTTAGCTTTAAAACATATAGACGAATGACAACTTCCACCCTCAACATCTGTTTTAGTACACAAAACCTAAAAACGGAGTCCTCTGGGAATTTATAGTAGAGGTGGAAAGTGAATCTTCGGGAAATCCCAAGAAATTTTTAACAGTGTATTAACCAGCGAATGCTTGTATAAGGTGTGCCATATTTAAAGTTTCACAGAATTTTGTAGTCCAAAACGAAATGGCGCAAATGATGGTCCTTGGTCCCTTTAAAGAAGCAAGAGCAATCAAGATTGTTTTTAAGGTCATGATCAACTATTAATATTTCTTGGGAACATTTTTCCAATCGTCAACGTCTATAAAAGCTAATAATCATTCTAGAATGTTTGATACTTGTTATTGGCCTTATCAGGAAGCAGATACAAAGCTAGGTTCAGGGGAGGCAATCTTGTAGAAACCCTGAACGCTTCGTCGTCTTTTCCTCTCACTGTAAAATGCTTGCAAACTATATTCTTTGCAACGTTGCAAAGAATTTCTGAGCATTGTATTGCAAAGAATTAGTTCGTATTGCAAAGAAGTTCTTTGCAAGCTGGCAGAATCCTTGCAAACAATGTGTTTGCATTGCAAAGAAATAGTTTGCAAGCTTGCGAAGAACTAGTTCGTATTACGATGCTTGAAAATTCTTTGCAAGCTGCAAAGAAAATAGTTTGCAATACGAACCTATTCTTTGCAAGCATTTTGCAGTGCTTATTTAGTTAGCCAAGGTGTTATAATGGAATGACAATCCCAGGTAAAAGAGGCATATGTGCCGTTAAATATAATACACAACCAGTTTTTTGACAGTAGATTTCATTCACTTTCGCACCTGCACACAATTGCTTTTATCAAATCATTTTTTAATCGACAGTCCAGCCCTTACTTATTTGAACTCCTCATAGTCTGTCCATTTCCTGCCCAGTTGTAGTGAAT